ACTCATTTCAGGTTTACTTACTTCTCCATCCATCGCCTTAACGAGAAGGCACAGATCATACGGGTGTTGTGCGATCAGGGTTGTGAGTTTCACCTTTGACAGAAGCAGTACGTGAGCATAGGGTGACGCAGTGAAAAAACAGGCAGGGAAAGGGCAGGTGGGTGGGAGAGCTGGGCTCAGCTATCAGGCAGGACCTGGTGCAACTGCTGGCACGGCAAACACTAACATCTGCATTCTTATCTCGCTTCCCCCCACACACACACACACACACACACACACAGCATCCCGACACACTCGCTGTGAAGTGTGTCTGCCTCCTATGTGGCCTCAGTCAGATCGAAGTCACTCAAAAGTTTGACCTGAAACCAAAAGAGCTCAGAAAAACTAAACAAACAATACGGGGAATCTACTAAAGCTCACTTTCCTTCTACATCGAAGAATTAAAAAAAAAACAAATGACACAGAGTGAAACGCAGACTTACACACAGCTCGGGGCTGAGCAGCGCTGTGATTTTAAGCTGCATCATGGGATCTTTACTCCAGGCGTTGCTGTGGGACATCCGCACACATTCCAGTATGGCCTCCATGTTTTTGTCATATCTCGTCTCCCTGGTGATAAACATCAGAGAAGATTTAAATAGACTCTGTAGGAAAAATATTTCTAATTTGTGAATATAAGGTCCTTTCTTTTTTAGTTTGAATTACTCCTCTTGAAACATGAAGACTGACAAATATTTGTTGCTGTGGATATATGCCGTGCTGCTGTGAACTAAATGAGGCCTCCTCCTCTTTGTGAGTTCATTTTAAAGCTGCATTTAAAGGCGGGAATGTGACACATACCCAGTGCTTTCTCCGAGGTCCTCCTCAATAGGTACAGCCAGCATGGGCCTCAAACCCAGCAGACTCATCTTCTCCATGGACTGAGAGATCTCGCCCTCGCTCTCTCCGGCCACAAACTGGGCGTACACCGTGGGCCGCAGCAGCAAGGAAAACCCCCTTCTTCCAAGGAGGAAGCGGCCTAAGGACATGAGCTGAAAAAAGGAATGAATGAAGAAGAGAAGTGGCGAGAAGAGGTAAGGTGGTGTGATGGTGATGACAGGAGGACGACTCAGTTAAGTGGAAAACTGGAGTCTCACCTTTCCACAGTTGTTGACCAGAGATGGGAAAGAGCAAAGGCGGAAGATGCCCAGAGCACGCAGCAGTTCGCCCAGACTCTTCACCCTGAAGGCGCTGGGATCCTCAAAGGCAAGAGATGCAGAATGGAGTCCAGGCTGCCTTACCGCCGCCGTGGTGGTGGTACCCAGAGGCCTCAGTGATAAGAGGTGAGGGCGGGAAAGACGTGAGCGCAACATCCTCCCACAAGAGAAAAAATTATATTTGGAAGTTTTCCACTCCTGGTTGTGGTTTTATTATGTTATTTTATCGAGTGGTTAAAGAGGTAGACAAATAAAGTCAGATGCAATGATGGGGAACGTCAGAGGATTGAGGGTCTGAATGGTCAGCGCAGGAAGAATTGATGATCTTCTCAAATGAGAATCTGTTGGAAGAAGGAAGAGGTAAAAGCAGTTAAAAGAGGATTAGAAGTAATGGAAAGTTTGCCCATTTCAATGAAGGAAAGCTGGTGCTCACAAGATCTACTCCATAAGCGCTTGGAATAATACTTCTAGAGAGCATCTCAGGTGGCCTATGTTCTGTTTCCAGTTTTGCTGGTGCTCTGAATCAGCATCAAAATTAATTGTGGCCTCCCTTTGCCAATACTCCACGCCAATACTCCAAGACTTGTGAAATTTGGCTTCAGTTTTTTGTACGATTAGCTGGCAAAAAAACAAAAACATTGCTATGCCTCTTACCTTAGCAAATAAATGGAAAGCGGTCACAATGGAGGATTCAGATACAGACAATGCCTTACCCTGCGTCCTGTGAACATTACTCAAAAAAAGCCAAACAAGTGGAATTTGAAGGTTTTGAGTTTGTGACTCACTGGTTAATAAGTGACCAGTTGCAATTTAAGTAAACATCGGGTTGACCCTTAACATCAACCCAGAAGTCTGTTCTTGGTTAGAAATTTAACCCTACTGATATGAATTTGTATTAAAATATTATAGTCAAAAAGCCAAACTAACGACGGCATTTTTTCCTATAATAGATGTGTTTTTTTTTATTTAGATCAATAATGCTTATATTTTTACAGTGGACAGTTGCTTGGTAAAATATGACTATCTAATACAATATTGAAATACTTCTACAGACTTTTACAAAGGCATTTCAACTTAAGATCTCTTTAATATGAAAATGACCTTTTCGATGAAAGTGAAAACAAAACAGATGTTTGCAGTTCTGTTTTGAAAAGGGTTGAGCTGAACTCAAAGATAAGAAAGGCAGCAGAAATGATTAACTGCTGTCCTCCTTGTTACGTATCTCTGACCTGAATACCTGAATGTCGTCAAATTTCCCTTAAATCTTTGCTGCATTTACAATTGTCACTACAGTTGAGACAAACGTTTCCTTTTTCCCTCCAGTTCTACATCCGGCTTTAGCCTCTTTTTTATTACCCAGTCAGGTAACACACAGAAGGGGCAAAACAAATCACCTTGTCATTCCATATTAGAAAGTGCATCTTTGTGTAAAGTTACACAGCCAGCACATAACAATAATCACAGATCACCACTGTTAACATCTTTGATCAGCATCAGCCAAATGTGAAGTAATTTTGAAATAATTGTAGTAGAATTTTAATTTAAACCAAACTACAATCTATATCAACAAACATCAGCTAACTCAATCCTGACTATTATGGAGGTTCAGAATTCAGAATAATCCATTTTCAATGGTGAGTGACAAATTCTGAGGGATGCCAACAAAAACTACAGAACATGTGCTCACCTAAACCTTTTTCATCTTCAGATTAAAAAAAAAGAAACAGAATCACAAAACTTTAAAGAGGAAGAATTTATTTATCATGCAGGAAGAAATATTTAAAACAAGGTTCTTTAATATTATATACAAATTAGTTCATCAATTTCATGAAATTGTTCCTACACTGAATGATCGGGAGGAGCAACACACACTCAGACACACACACACATTCACCCAGAGAACAGTGCACTACTTCAACTAATGCTCTATATTGCTCATTCCCCTAAAAGCGCTATGGCAAATCACAAGTTGCTTTAAAACATTGCTCTTGTACTCATATCCAGGTAGGAGCCCTGGGGGTGGGGGTGGGGATGGGGGTGGCCATGCTGGTGTTGTCTATACAGGTGTCTGAAAGGGATAGAGAGGGAAGAGTGAGGGTTCTGGCACAGCCGGAGAGGGTATGAGGGAAAGGCGGGGTAGAGGGCCGCCGGCGGGTTGGAGGAGGGCAGTGGCGCGTCCAGCTGAGGGAGGAGAGCCGGGTGGTGTAACACCAACTCGGAGCGATAGGTGGGGGGGATGGCGCTAATTTCCACTGGAGGATAAGAGCAGGTGGAGGAGGAGGAGGCGGAGGGAGTGGGCAGGGCGTGAGGTTGGGACGAGGCCGCAGACGTGGGGATGGGCTGCTGCAACGAGGAGGACACGGCCAAGCAGGAGGAGGGTTGGAAATGAGGGTGAGAACAGGAGGCTGAGGACGGATGAGGGAAGGAGGGGTGAGGCAGAGTGGCGCCGAGGGAGGGGGCCGGGGCTTGGTGGCTGATATTTGGGAGATGCAGAGCGGGACTGGGGGACATCCCTGGAAATGAGAGGCTTTGTATCTGGGAAGAAACAGAGGGGAAAGCAAACGATGTGGGGGTGCTGTTAGCGGGGAGGGGGCGTGACAGAGGGGGCGCTGCTGGCTGGTACTGATTGGGGAGAGGTTGAGCCGCAATTGTAAACAGATCCTGATTGGTGGTCTGGACATTTGGGTACATGAAAGCTGCCGAGGCCCAAAGACTTTGTGCATTATTTCTGTCGGAGTTAGGCTCGGTCAGCTGCTGCTGGTTTGAGTGAGTGAGCAGGGAGTGAGTGGACATGTGATCCTGTGTGACCGACTGGCAACGGAAAGGGGTTGGAGTTTGGGCGCCCACTGTCTCTGGGATGGTGGGGTAGGGGTTGGAGGAAGGGGAGGAGGAGGAGGAGGAGAGGACCGCCTGTGGGGAGGAGGAGGAGGAGTCGGATGGGGGCGGAGTGGGGAAGGTGAAGGAGTTCTGCTGAAGGGAGGGGGTTGCCGGGAGCGTGGGGGATGATGACAGGAGAGTGGGGTAGTCCATAGGCGGGATGGACGGCCGAGGGTCAGATGTGTCAGAGGAGGTGGAGACAGGGAGAGAGTCAAAGGAGGAAGATGGCTGAGGAACAGAGGAGAAATTAGAGGAGTTGTCCTGAGCGGCAGCGAAGCTGGAGATGTAAGCGGGTTCAGCCAGAGGGTCTGATCTGTGATGAAGAAAAGAAAGGAGGTTGTTGTTCATTCTGTCTTATTACCACCATAATCCCCTTCTTTAAAATCAATTAATGTTTCTTGAGTAATATTATTGCTAAAAATGCTGCAACACATGGAGTGTCTTTGAGAAAAATCATGAAAAAACAAAGAACACTTTCTTTTCATGATGCTTTATGATGCACAAGTTCTTTAAACCAAAAACTTGTATTTAATCTTTAGTTTGGGACAAGTTGAACCAAGAAAACGTTTCGGCCCCTAGAAGGATTTGAGCTTTAAACTCTCTGCCAAGGTCTCAGATTCTAAAAAAGTTTTTAGTTCTGTTGCTTGCACATATTCAGAAAACCTGTGATTCCTCAAACACTATCGCAGAAATCAAAAGTAATGGGCTCCTCTAAGTTGCAGCCAAGTACAGGTAATACTTTAAAGTTTAGTAATACAGGTAATAATTTAGAATATTCACAATATATATTTTTAGATAATTTTTTTTGCCCTACATTAAAACCAAAATGGCACACTCACCTTTCAATCATGCTGTTGTCTACTGATGTTCCTGATGTTTCCTGTATGCCACCGGCTAAGTTGATGCCAATATCAGACATTTGGGAGGCTATGAATGCCTGGTCCAGTGCCAGCGAGTGCTCTGGATTGAGAGTGTCTTTGTAGGAGGCCTCTTCAGGTCTGAACCCAGCGGAGTGGTCAGTCAGCGCCAAACCAAGGGCCTGCAGATCCGTGGGGTTGGCTGAATGTTGTGGCACAAGCTCAGTAGAGTCGCAAGGATCACAGTTAACTGAAACAAAAGGAGTGGATACGACTTAGAATTAGGTAATTCTGGCAAATTTATATCATGATACTTAAAATGATTACTTATGCTGCCTACCAGTGTCCAAGGTTTCTGTCAGATCGGAAATTTTACGCTTCTGTCTCGCATCTCTTTGTCTAGAAAGGAGAACAAGAAGTTAGTGGTTTCACAAAAGTCCAGAAGTCATTTCATTTTCATATTTGCATGCATTAAGTACTTTTTACTGTTCATCCCATCCTCTCGGAAGCCTTTAGCAAATGGATTGGAGTTGATCTTAAGTTCTGTAATCTGAAAATAGGAAAGGGAGAAAATGAGTTTCACAATTTTCTGTCCATCTGCTATGCTTTTTTTTCTTTTTTCAGAGGGAATTTGTTTCTCTCTGACATAGCACCATCAGCTGGGCCGCTTGATCTTTGAATCCCATACCTTGCTGTTCTGGTACGCGGTGACGGTGATAAATTGGGTCTCAGGGAAAACAAAGGTGCGCTGTCCTCCAGCCCACTTCAACACATCTCTGGCTTCAACCACATGAATTCTGGGCTGGTAGCGATGCAGGGAGTGCAGGATGATCTTGGGGGATGAAACGAAAGAAAATAATTTAGCTAACAAGCTCCAATAATACAAAGATTACAAATATATCTTGCCTACTTCATTGATGCTGCAGTACTTACGTGCCCCTGCGTGTCCAGTGTGTTGTTGGTGAGCTTGGCATAGTGGAAGGAGATGGTCCGGCTCTGCCAGTGTGCACCTGTGGCCGGAGAGTCCGGGTGGATGAACACCCGGTCTGGTAGCCGGGCCTCCGCACTGCCCACCACCTGCCAGCCCCCGCCTTGGAAACGATAACGGGAGTTGTCCACAGGTACAATGTCAAGCAGGAGGATGTAGCGGACGGATGGGTTTAAGCCTGACAGCTTCAGTCTCAACCCAGGAAACATCCGTCTAGGGGGGGAAATAAAGATATTATTTCGAGAAGTTTACAAGTTAAAGCAGGAACAGAGAAATGAACAAAATGGAAAAAAGGGCATCTACAAGTTTAAGAAACAATGGTGAGCAGTATGAGTAACAACAGCTTTTTTTAAAAGCTGTAGAGTAACAGTAAAAATACTTTTTTAAAAATGCATGCAGCATGTCTGCTGTCTCTTCTTACCGGCCCTTTTTTGTGATGATCATCTCTGTGCCCACGGAGCTGAAATGCTTCCATAAAGCTGAATTCTCTAGGTCCATCTTTACATCATCCTTCTGGGGTTTGGAAACGGGCTCACTGGGTGCTGAAAGAGGGCCTGGCATCCTCTGAGTCATGTCACAGGCTGGAGGGAGCATCGGGATGTGTGCATGAGCTTCTCGGTCTGTGGGGAAAAACAGTGATGATGAAAGTCAAGAACACTTTGGCCTCACATAGAGTACATTTTTTCAAAGTTGTGGTTTACATTTGTCTCTACTGTCCATTAGAACATTAGTGCTGTCATTGTGTTATTAATCAACTATAACCTCTTTGGAATGTTTTGACACTTTTAAAAAATGAAGAAAAATGCTCTAACAGGACTCAGTTAGCTCAGAGTTAACTTGAAGCTTTACTGTCCTCAGAGCTTCAGTATACAGCATCATACCTCCGTCTGAACTGAATTGTCTTTAAAAAAAATCACTGAGAGTTTGTGTCCTCTGTTTCTTTCTTTCTCACCTCGGTAAAAGTCTCCAATCCTTTGAGGTCCCAGATTCAGAGCGGGGTACATGTCCACGCTCAGCATTCTCCTGGTCAGTGGTTTGTTCCTTGACTCGTCTTCTCACCTGCCTCAATGTAACATTCTTCAGATGCCTCTGGCTCCGTCTGTGCTCCCTGCGCAGGGAAAATCTCTCTGTTATCTAAAAGCGAAAGTTGTCCCGCAGTAGAAGTCTTGTTAAGAAGGTCCCTTCTTTTCCAGTCTAGATCTGGTGATCGTGCCGTCCCGTGTTGTGAGCCGGCACAGCTGGCGGGCTTCTTTAAATAGGTGTGTCTTCACACGTTGGGCCAAATGGTCCCATTGTCACCTTGCTCCTCATTTACCTCCCCGTTTCTCCACCCAGTTCCCTCAACTTTCCTTCTGTCTTTGCTCTTCAAACATAAACAGTCAAGACTGGATGTGACCGAAAAAATCCAGATTACATTCTGTGTCTTATAAGAAACACAAGTGTGATTTGGGTTGATTTTACTTGATCTTTACTTGATCATGTTAGGCTAAGACAAGAAGGGTTGGTTGGTACAGTTCACCTGTTTAATCACAAAATAACTAAAAAATGTGGGGACAGATTATCAATGTATGAATGTAAAACAAAGCAAATCATATCCATAGATTCAAAGTCCTTTTATGTAGGAATCATTCTTGGTCTCAGAACGCAGTCTCAAAGTGATCAGTTTAATTGAATAATTTTTTATCAATTAATGCCAACATATTTAGATACAAGCAAATACGATGCCTGATATATCTTGTCGAGCTTTCATAACTTTTATACTAAAGTTATCGAATTCAGAAATACAGTTAGTATTTTGATAATGACCTGCACGTTAATACAAGGATGAAGGACTCTTTTTTAGGTGTTTTTTAAAACTATCTTTACTTTTAATCACTTGCGGTCTTTATATGAGTGTAAAACAGCTGCTGTCCATCACATGCTCAAATTTCAAATCTTCTTTTATTTATTTGATCCTTCTGGAATATGAAAAGCTTCTTATACATGCACATAAATCTGGTAGTTTACCAGCAGGCCCCCTGTAGCTGTTTGATGGCCAGATGACAAGTTTCTTCCTCCGGGCAGTCGGCCCGCTGAGCTCTCTCTGCAGGCCGTCCGAATGCAGGTGGAAGTGGACAACAGCTGGCCAATGGCTGCAATTTGGTCGCTGGACAAACATGAATGTCTCAAGCTTTCTACAACCCTCAATTTCAGTAGAGTTGGGAAATTTTCCAAAATGCAATAAAGTCTTACATCTGTAATTTGTTCATTTATGAGACATTCAGTCAACCGAAAAGAGGTCAAAAAGAAATTTTTCTCAGCATCTCGCTGCCCAATTTCATTTAATTGTGAATTCCTGCTGCAACAGAAATGTTAGCATAGAGGCAAAAAATGTCAGGGAATTAACAGACCACAAATCAAGTTTTCTATTTTTTCTCAGTTCTCCATAGTTGAATTTGTTTAAAAAGAAAATACTATTTTTGTTCTATTTTATGATTCTTAATAAAGGGTTCACTAACAGTAGATTTAAGATATATTTTCTTCAGAATTGTACCACTATGAATGCTCAGATGTCACAGTCATTGAACAATACTTTTCCCAACAATCCTTTGCTTACTGAAAACTTCCAGATTCTATAATCTTTGACAGTATAATCTGTAGATGAGAGAAACTGTCCTCATATTCTACAACATATTAAATGTGTAAGTTATGGCTTTTTCTCTCCTGTACGCAATTTTTCCTTTCGACAATTCAGTCTTGCTTTATTCTTCTCAGTCAGACTCAGCCACTGATCCCCATCCTGCTTTTGCAGCTTGGGTTGAATGCATCACAGAAAAGTGTTACAGCAATAGGCGGCAAAAATAATGATTTTTGCAAATATATCTTAGGAAAACTCATCAGTTTTTTACATTTGGCAAAAAGAAGGCTCAGACTGTAACGATGACGAGGACGGGCAGTAGCTGCAGGTTCCCTGCAGACACTCCCTACCCGGGAGTCTGCTGGAAAAGACAAACTGACGTGGCTCAGGCCTACCTGCATGCAGATACCAGAGCCAACATTAAAGCCACAGCTGGAGTCGGTTTACGCGAGTAGAGCATGCATGTTGTTGTAGTTGTTGTTTTTCTTCTCCATCTGTGGTTGTTGTTGAGGATAAAAGCAAGTGAGAAGTGAGGGGAAGTGGAGGTGTCAACGGCGAGCTGAGAGAAAGGTCAATACCTTAATGGGAGCAGCGAGGTGTGCGATGGCTCTTAATGTTTTTACGAGCAGACAGGTGTGTGACACCTACTGCAGCCACAGGACTTTGAAAGAGCCAGTAATGAGGACTGCTATTTTGTTTCCAAGAAGCGGCATTAGTAGTGCGCTATGTATTTACCATCGGCCTGCGCTTTGACACGCATGTGCTAATGGTTGGATGTCCATCTACGTTTGCTCACTGAGGGCCAGCGGTCATCTTATAAGAGAGACTCTTATGAGATTAATCACAGGCTGCAGCCGACTTCCCACTGCCTTAAAACATCCAGCTGTGTCTACTTTGTGAGTCGCTTTGGATAATAGCGTCTGCTAAATGCATAAACATAAACAGCACAGGTTCAGAGTATCCACAACGAGTCTGTGATGGAATTAGCCTTCCTTTACATAACAAGGATTACTTTAATACAATGATAGCGCGCTCTGTGAAAACGTTTCAGTTTGGGGGGAAATGAGCGGAAATTGAATCCCCACCAAAAGGTTGAGGTCAATGGTGGTTGTGATGGATAAAAATAGATCAGCTTCCCATACAAGCCACATTCATCCGGAACACAGATTACATCCTTTATCCTTAGACCTCATTTCATTTCATGCTTTAACTTAGCCAACACACAAACAATCTCATCAAGAAAAATCCTTTATTTAGCCACGGCCTGAAAAACATGCAGAAGATGTCCCGAAGGAGGCACTTTTATTTTATCATTGCATGTGTGTGAAGTTTACTATACACAGTTTTTCTTGTGATGCCAAGAGATAATAGATACGTTTGGATTCATGTTACGTCGCAGACAAATAGACGGTCAGACCACCTCCAGAGGGTCTCGGTCTGCCTTTGACACCACCACCGTTATGCTGTCGGGGACGCGGACGGCCAGCCTCTCCCTGAACACGCTCAGGAAGCCGCGCTCACTGTTACTGTGCTCACTGAGGAGGACGCTGGTCCCCTTTGCCACTGCGTCCAGCACTTCGTGGTGGGACATCTCTCCTGAAAGATAGATTTCATTTCATGTAGAAAATGTACATTATATCTAAAAAAAAAAAAGAAATAATTAACTCGGGTATTGGGTATATGTTTGAGTGCTGGTTTCTCTGGTGAACCTGTAACGTAGAGGTCCGCTGTGACTCCGCTCAGCACAGAAGCCCCCGAGCCAGCGCAGACCGCCACCGTACGCACAGAAGAGTCTGGACAGAAGACCAAAGCAGACATGCTGCGGTTCGTTTGGTTGAATATGGTTCAAATCAAAGCACTGCTTTCCAATGGTTTTCTTTCAACAAAGTTTTGATAAGAGCACACATTCTCCCTCACCAAGCGTCTGCCCTGATCCCAGAGCCAACCGGAGGTGACTTAAACCCAAGTGGGACTTCACTTTCTGGATGGCTGTTGCCACGGTTACCGGCTGGTCTAAAACGCTTCGCCGGCCCTGGCCGTGGCCCATCAGAGGCGGCTGAGAAGAGGAGACAAGCGTGAGGTCAGCGCTGCGTGTGAGAACCCCTCACTTATCACCGTTAATCACTGAGAGTAACTGGACTCATCTTGGGACGTCTCGGTGCTTTACCTTCTCCAGCTTCAGGATGCTGAGAGAGTGGCTGGCAGAGCTGTGCCGTAGCAGGGCCTGGACGCTCGGGGTCAGCGCCGAGTCACGGCAGGTCACGCTCACGTGGAGCTCACTGCTGTCTGCTCTGCTGGGATGAGACCCACGAACGAGTCAGTTCGCTTTTACATGTTTTCATCATTTAGATGTGTCCATACTATTTGAGTCGTGGTGAAGAGAACACATCACCATGCTGGTAGCGTGTACGTGAAAAAACGTGAAAAACGTCGTCTGAAAGCATTATTTGAGAGCATGCACAGCACCTGCTGACTGACGTTTGCAGGGTTGTTCCATCGTCGCATGCCTTCAGTTCCTCCATGACAGCGTGGAGTTCCTCTGAGCTCCTGACCACGAATTCCAGTTTGTGACTGTGGGAGGCGTCACCAAGTGCCTGACTCAAAACAGAAACCTGGCCGCTGCCTGACCAAGATGGAAAGGCAAATAAAATAATGTCAGGGGATCAGCGTCACAACAATGTAGCCCATACCTTCAATAATACGCGATCGTCTCCGGAAAAAGAGACTTACCGAGGCCGCCCACCAGCCAGTCGTTCACCCCTCCTCTCACGCTGTCCCATGACGTGTGAGGGGAAAAGACAGCCATCCCAGCCTCCACAGCCCGGATGGCCAGCCTCTGCTTCCAGTCTCTCTGAACCAATCGCTTGATAGGCCGAAACAATGGCGGGTGATATGAAACGACGAGGTCGCAGCTCAGCGCCTCGGCCTCCTCCATGACAGCTTCCGTGAGGTCGTTGGTCAGCAGGATGGTTTTGATGGGCCGCGATTGGCTCGGCTCTACCAGCAGACCGACATTATCCCAGGACTCGGCGAGGGAGAGAGGAGCGAGCTGCTCCAACACCTGCAGAACCTCCTTCAACTCCATCGGGCCGCTGCAACGCGCGGAATGGGAGAGGCAGCGGGTTGAGGAGAAATGAGCAAATGGTTTCAGAAAGGATTTTCGCTCGCTTGTCAGGAAGCCGTGGCTTCGGACAGATGATGCTGTCGAGGCCGAGGAGCAGAGAGTTGCATGTGCAGCCTTTAGGGTCGTACTAGTCAAAAGCCTCTTACGTGCAAGTGGTACAAACGTCCGAGATAAAGCTCTGCACCCGGACAACATAAGTGGAGGAAGTCTGTGAGAGGGGGAAAAATATATCATAAAAATATATTACAACTAAATATGATCACTTCAATCATTTACTACATTCTGGGTTTAATAACTGACAAAATGTATTGAAATATCCAAATATTTCTAGGTCTGTAACTAGTTTAAGCTTACTTTTTTGCAACTATCAGTAACTTTTTTTAAACTGAAAATGTGCTAATATCTTCTCAGCGAAATGTTTTGGATAAATAAAGGAAACACTTTCTTGTTTCATCTGACTTCTGGACCCTTTGCTGGAAAATTATAGGCATTAAGACTGTGCCACCACAAGATTTGTATAACATTTCATTTAACATTCTAACATTTATAGAAAACACATTAACATCCACCTCAGGCTTTGAACGACTGGATGCTGAGAAAATCTAAACCGGGGGGGAAACTAACGAAAATATCTTAAATAACCCTGATACTAATAACTGTATACCCTAGTCTGGGTCAGAGGATGTCAAATTAACTTAAGCTGACAGTAGTTTTTAACTGTTAGCTATATGACATTAACTTCATATGCAACTTACACGTTCTAACTAAGCCGGACATGTCTGGGTCCACAGCTCAGTATTTAGTAAACTGGAGCTCTACATAATCAGACAGCAATGAGCCGTATCTGTTGACAGGCATGCGGAGCTAACTGCTAACTGGCTAATATTAGCTTCACGCTAAGTTATGTATACCATTATAACACCAACATTTCAACATGTGCATAAGGGAACGTATCTTACCTTTAAATGCTTGCTTTTAATAAAAGCAACATGTAAAATTACGTTGCTGAACACATATCTGTCAAAGTGAAACTGCACACTTAACTGTGGAAGAAAAATGTCCCTTCGCGGATGCCGTTTCTTTTTCTTTTTTTTTTAAATAGGTATTTATCCTCTTCAGAGGATATTCTTATCACATCGCAAGTTACGGAAACACAACTTTCTTACGTTTATTCTTCTTGTGTTTTAATCCATATTCAAGGTTTGATTTGAAAATAGGATAAACATTATATTAGATTTAAAGTTAGAAATTCTGCAGTAACTTCACACATCAGTACTCATGATTCAAATTGTGTCAAATGCTTTTAATATATCTTAAATGGAATACATCTGACCTTGTTTCCAGTTTCATGAATCCACAATTATATATTGTACATTGATCTGTTTTGAATAGAGTTAGATCTTTAAGACCTCAGTTCAGTTTAGCATCAGAGGACGTTCTATAACACTGTATGACACAATTATCAACACAACTTTTTAACAGCAAGCATGAATAGAAAGTAGTGCTTTTTCAAATTATTGATAAGAATTATAAAAGGCCTCAGGTATGATATAATTCCTAAAATCGGAAAACAATATTAACTGAAGTTACAATAGATTCTGGTCAGTACACTGCAAATTCAGAAAATTGCAAGAATGCCTTCTTGTGTTGACTCAAGTCTGGCTAAAAATAATTTGACTCAATTTATTTGACTGGAGAAATTCTAAACATGAATGCATTCAGAATGAATCAACCAAATCCACGTAAACATAGATAAAGGGCTTAAAAGGTTGATCGGTTCCATAAAAGAAAATCTGGACAGGACAGTTTATAATGCTGTTTGCATGACAAAATATACAGTTCATGTATGTTATGAAACAAATGTGAAGATTAAAGTAAACAGGAAAAGACTACGTTGCTTTGATAATATATATTAACTCCGGTAGGGCAGATGGTATTTCAGATATTCATGGTTCTCTCTACTCTTCTCAGAAAGATTAGCCAGAGCTTGGTAATAAACAAATTAAATCTGTCTGGAAATGATGATTGCAAAAGGGTTAAAACTGCAATTCAAGCACGATAGCAAGCCCGTGGACCGCATGGCTTCCTCGGGATTGAGTCAGGAGAGAGTGACCAAGAGAGAGATTACTGTGGATTAATGTAATATAAGGTCGCCACTCGATGTTAGGGGGATCAGGAGAGGATCAGAGCAAAGTCAGGGCATCAAGCATTACATCATCTGATTCTTCTTCTGGCCTCATCAGCCTCTCTCTGCACTACATCCATCTGGATAGAAAAGACCCACTCTTTTAACATAAGTTTTCACTGTGTTTATTAAAGAAATTAGGAACAAAATGTTTTCTTATCTATTTTTTCTTATGTGAGTTTTTGTCTGAGTCTCTCACGTGCCTGTCCAAATAAAAAGTGGACCTTCAAACAAATCTGAATTAGTATATTTGATGGGATAACAGAAAGTTGATCAAGGATTCGTTAAGTGAATTGTCAAAAGTCTCACCCCTTGTATCCTTTTGGTCCATTTCACAGATTTTCTCTAGTAATTAGGTTTTGCATGTTCTATGAGAGAACAACTTCACTTTTGCTAATTGGCAAAAGTGAACCCTTGAATCCCATCTGTCAGTCTGTCTGTCTGGAGATCAGCCCAGTAACATCTGTCCTCCTGCTGTGCCAAAGTGAGGGCACACTGTGTTCCTGTCCACGCTCCAAAATTTCGCCCAAATATTTAATCTCTACTGGGCCGGCTTTGGACCCATTTGAAACAGTATTTGATGATGAAGCACAAGCTACTTCTGTCCCCAGGTCAGGGTGGATGTGAAGACTTTGAAATAAAATAGAAATCCTGTAGATTTTATGTGCTCTAAGTTTGTAATTTTTTGTCTAATTGTATGCCAAACTTCCATATGTAAGAACATATAAGTTGGTGCTTTTTAAAAAATGTTTTAACTGTATGCAGTTACTTGTAATCAGTAGTTTGTGTGTTTGGTCACAAATCTCTTCATCCTAATGTCCTCTCAAAATAAGGGCAGAAGGTTCTCTCAATCCTCAACATTTTTGCTCACACGGGAGCAGCATCTCTAATGTTTTTGCTTTATAAATCCCTGCTTTGGGACATGAAATCCGTAGGTCCGTGCATCTATTTATAATACAAGCGGTCATCAGTTGGACAGGCAATATTTTAGTCCACCTCACTTAGTAAGCACTGAAGCCACAGACTGCATTCATAGTTTACATTTTAACTTGGGAAACTAGGAAAACCAAATATCTGTATAATGTTAATAATGCTAATTGTTATCATTTGAATGTTTTGAATGTAGTTGTATTTCAATTGTTTTAAAAAATCAGGATTGTAAGGATAAAGAAACTTTGTTGCAATAATTTAGTTGAGTACAAATGTTTCACGGGAAACATATTTATTTCCAAAAACATCTAATTCAGCAAACAAATTCAAAATGACTTGCTTTATGTACAATAGATATTAAAAACAAAACAACATAGAATTGTTGATAGATTTTTTGGAGCTCTAACATTTGGAAATATGTCACTCTTTGCATAGTTGGAAAATCCTCTCTGAGAACAGTTTAAAGTTGTTTTCTTTTTTGGTACTAATAAGAATTGCAACTTCTCATTTGTTTCTGAATCTTGTGGATGCAGTCTACTGGTAAAAGAAGTTCAGAGGAAGACAGTATCTGTGCTAATGCATGATTGTAAAGGTGCAAAATTAGGTCCCGGTATTGTCTTCGGTCATCATTGACCAGACATCATTCTGACAAACTCTGCAAAGAAAGAGCACAGGTTAATTAGTTTAACAAAAAGTGAGACACAACTGAACTTTTATTTAAAATATATGTGGATGAGAGCTGCCTACACTGCTGGTAAAGTCTGTCTTGTGTAGATACTTATGATGTTTTGCAGATTAAACTGTTTGTACCTTCAAAGTCTACAGTTCCATCTCCATTGTCATCGGCCTCTTTCACTATGGCATCGATCTCTCTGCGGCTCATGTGCTCGCCCATCAGCTTGGTCATAGCTGCCCGCAGCTCCTCCGTCGTGATCTCTCCATCTCCATCCATGTCAAACTAAGCACCAAAACCGGACAACAGGAAAAGAGTAACATCAGTGATTTGCTTATTTTGATTGCCTCCACAGTAAGTGCTGGGGAGAGTGAATCAAATCTGCTTATGGAGATACCATATGGTTGTTCCTTTTAGTTTCTCTCTCACCTCTTTAAATGCATCTTTGAGCTCCTTTACACCGATCATGCCAGCTGTCTCTGCCAGTAGCTTTGGGGTCATGAGTTCCACAAAGTCCTCAAAGTCAACTCTTCCACCAACTAGAGAAGGAGAAAAGATGTCAGGGCACATATCAAATTTTGTACATAATCCCATTCTAGTTTATTTATGTTTTATGTCATTCGGTATGATTTTATGTTTTATGAAACATGCGTTAACAATAATATGCTAAAAAAACAACACAACGCAACGTTTTGGTTGTAAGAACTCACGGTTCATATTGATGTTTTGGCTGAGCTCGATCAGCTCCATCTCAGTGGGCATGTAACCCATGGTCCTCATCAGGTTCCCCAGGTCCTTGCAACTGATCAGCCCGTCTTTGTCTTTGTCAAACTCGTTGAATGCATCACGCAGCTCTGAACATAAAAAGAGACACAGTGACAAGTAAAAAACACAGAAGAAATGGCCAGGAAAGTGCAGCTCAAGCTGATACGCAGAGGCTGACAATTCAACATACCTTCGATCTCGTCATCAGCCAGCCTTCGTGACTGTAAAAACGAACATGAACAGCTTAGGCTTTGCACAATGTGAACTTTCATAATGAAAAAAAAAACAAGAAAAAACAAGCTGTGCAGTTTTAGACATTGTTAGTTCAAAGAACAATTAAAACCAGACCCAGAAAAACAATTTACCGCACACTGAACATGTCCCTAAAGTATCCTGGACTGAAATGAACTGGATGAGATTTAAACTGTTTAGCAAAAAAGCAGGGACAGATTATCTGGAAATCTGTCCCGTTTTGATCCTGTTATCTGTCAGGTTATAATCCAATCAGCTTTTCATACCTTTTTACAAACATTCGCTGAAAATCAAACAAAAAGAAATAACTACGCTAATGAAAATGTCAAATTTTTGCACTGTGTACTCACAATGTTTTTTCCTCCTCGCAGGAAGATGCATGCAGCTCCCAAACTCATTTCTGCCAATGAAAAGAAATAAGATTTGAAAACATGAAATCCAGCCTAAAGATCAAGTTAAAAGTAAAACAGAGGGTTTAACAAAAACTAGGTTATGTGTCAATAATTCAAAAATACTTTTAAAGTTACAACCATTTCTATCACCTAAAAAAGAAGGTTTTGAACAAACACCACTACGCGAATGTTTGCTCACCTTTATCTGGGGATTTCTGCTCATCAGTAAAATGCCTCAAAAAACGAGCCCTGTGGCGGGGACTCAGCTGCTGACCCCTCTTCAGATGGCCCCTTTTCGCTTCTCCTTCTTCCTCTTCCTCTTGGAATCCGACTTGTCCTTTTTCTGCCCAGACAGTTTTGGCTGTGCGCTCAGCCTCACCTGCTCTGCTCGCTGGGATGATGGGAGGTTGTATGGAGTGGGGTGTGGCTGCATCCAGGGTTGGATGCTGGAGGGGGGAGGAGTCAGTGGCGTGACAGGGCGACAGCCGGATCACGTATGAGCTAAACAGATGATGCCCTGGTTTCCAGATGACTGCTGACATCACTTATAAATAATACTGTGACCTGAACCCACAGCGAGAATACGATAGAACAGTATCAGTTATGAGAGAAAATTTGCTCTAGTTTGTTTACAAGTTCTCTGTTTAATCTGATGTTTTGCCTTTTTTTTGTTTTCTCAGATAAATGTGCTAGAATAGATCAAAATGTGACATCTAAAATATGAAAGAGGAACATGTAAAACATTCCTAATTTTGAGTAGACTGGGGGGGATTGGAATATTTTTGGTCTAAAACTTACTTCTCTTATAGTCTCCGTCAGTTCAGACAGTAACTGTTAAATATTTAATTAGATGAGCTTGAAAAAATAATCATCCAAAGTAATTGGCGGTTGAAACTCTGACACATCTTCCTTCCAGATAATTTAGTCAGCTCACTGTGAGAAGGGATTTATTGACAGATTTCCACAAGTTCTGGAGGTAGCATCTGTCAGTATCAAGTTAAGGCATATCTTAAACATAAAGAAGAAGAATTTACCACTAAACGTGATCAATTCCTAATTAAAAAAATATAAAACACCATACATGAGAGCTACCCCCAATACATTGTAAACATTCCAAATTGATTGTATAGACCTTCTCTTTCTTCTCTTTGACCTTTCATGAGATGTTACCATCCATGCAGACTTGATCTTTATTTAGACATTTTTCTGTGTTGGCCATTTTACCTATTTTGTCTTCTTATTTTTTTATTCTAACATTACTTACATTACTGCCATTGTCATGTCAGTTTTTGTTGTGCAGGCCTTCATTCAACTTGTGTTGTTTTTTATGTGTTTGATAGACAGACTTGACGAACACAAGGCACCCTCTTATTTATTACTCCAAGGATAGTAATATTCAGTCTACATTAATGAGACAAAACATAGATGCATCCAGTCTTGATGGTACGTATACCTTCACCTCTCAACATGTTTTATCTGAGTGCTCCTCTGTTATGTAAATTTCCCCAAAATCTGTTTGCATAAGATGATTAATCCGATGCGACAGAAAACAAAAACTTATGACAATTCATTATCTTTTCTTCTTTCCCTCCTGCTGCTGGCCAGTTGAGGAGGTAACGTAAGGCCAAATCCACAGCTGTGGAATAAAGAAATGTGGATAAGTATAGAGACTGAAAACAGAGGAGAGGGAGGAAGTCTTTGTGGTAAAAGGTTTAGTATCGGTTTAATTCAGGCAGTGAGACACAACACTGGCAGTTACAGTGGGCATAATATGTATTGTAATGTTTAAGTATTTTGACGTGCAGAAAACAATATGACATAAATCCAGTCGTGATTTTTCACCCAGCAGGCACTTTGACCTTGTTTACACAAGAATCACTCATTATTTACCAGACGGTTTCTCAGCAGCAGTTTGTCGTTTCTGGTCCAACTCAGCTTAGCAAGCAGCTTAAAACTATAATGAATAAATGCATAAAGGGGCTGGTGGTGGTGGAGGGGCTTATTTTGTTTTTTGTGGTCCATCTACTAAAATGCAAAGCAAAGAGATTACACCTCACGTGTTACATAAGTACGTCATACGTGTGATTGTGATCACGTGTTAGCGAGTGCAGATATAACCAAAACCACCCCAACATAAGGAAATATTCTTTAATGCTCAACTCTGCATATTTTTTTGAAAAATACCAATATGTCACAGAGGTAATCCCAATAGTCGTTTCTGGCAATTAAGAGATGGTGATGTCACTCGCATATGTTATGCAACAGTATCAGTCTATAGCATTTTAATGAGGGCAGGCATGACATAATAATCTGTCATCCCAAATATTGGGCAGTTTGAAATATATGAGGATTTCTTATTCAATATCTATTAAATGAGAGCTGATGGTGGGCAATCACATCACTTAATCAGTTGGTATCATGACGAATGGGCCAAAATAATATTTATTAAGATAATTTTTTCATCCAGTAAATTGTTTCTTACATTTATTGTGTATTAACTACAGAGTATTTGTGGGGGGCAACATAATCATTTAGGCTGCTGCATTATGTGGTCAGCGGGGAATTTTCTTAAAAGCTAGAAACATATGCAGGCCAAGACGAATTTATATGTTAGTATGTTTTCTCTGAATTTCCTATGAAAAAGTGGAAACAACTGCAAATACTATGTTATAAAGATTTATTTTCCCCCTAAATGAGGCAGAAAGTAGTTTCATGACTTTTTATCTCACTCATGAAGAGCTTATATTTCCAAGAAAATATATTACATCACTGTTAATGATTTCAATGCACATTACATATGATGTAAGATGTTATTTAGCCTTTCAAACCACAAAAAAATCTGAATAAGTCAGCCATGACACATTTAACAGGCAGCTTTATAATAATAAATACTGTATAATCTCTGCAACTTTATTTGAGCAAAACACTTTACACATCTGGAAAAGCTATTGAGATCTCTTAATTATGTAATTTCATATTTGAAATTTTGTATTTGAAATGTTTTGATGAGAGAAAAGACAACAACTTATAGATGTGACAAGTTTTATGAAGGGATGTCTGGAATTAATTCTATGATACTATTAACACTATTAAAAATGTTGAAAACATGTTGAAAAAAATCTGTTGTATCTTTTTTTAATCTACAGCTTTTTATTTACAGAGGGAACACTACAATAATGGATTATAGTTTAGTTCAGGCATTTGTGTGTCTTTTTGTTGTAACTCAGAATCATAATTTGATTGTGGTAGGTGTTAAGTGACTCTCTTTTGGCTGTTTATTTGATATTTTATTCATATGTTTTTGCAGCTCTTTTGTGATGATTAGCATCTCTTTTACAATACTTTTAGTCGTTTGTTTCTTTTGAGCCCCGTTTTGTTTATTTTTTCTCTTTCTGGAATATAAATGACAATTTTAAGATATTAGAAGAGACATCTGTCTCGGTGACATTGCCAAAAAAACAAAAAAAACGGGATATTTCCCTGTTTTTATTGTTGATTTATTGTGTAATGTTTTGGCGACTCTCGTTGGCCACACGGGGGTAGTGTTATTGTGCACGCGCCTGCCTCTGAGGCGTAGAAGAAGAACGCTTCCGTTTTCCACTCGGCTCCCGCCCCGCTCCGCCATCATGAAGTCCTGAACAAAAACGGATGAGAGTCGAGCAAAATGGGGATAACACGAACTGGAGATAAAACCCATTGACACAGTGGCGAAATGACATCGCGTTGCGGTGGATTTTAATGACTCCCTTTCTCGGTGAAAACGTCCCGGGCAGCCGCTGGCATTACGTGATTTAGTTAGCAGTGTTGCTAACAGCGGCCAGAGCTAGCCCCAGATTTTCTCTGGCAGACAGCTCTGCTTCTAGCTGGCTGGCTAGGTTAGCTGGCAGGCGTCAGTCAGCTAGCTGTCAGTCTGACTGACTGGCACCTCACTCATGTCAAGTCGCAACAACGTGATAGCTGTCCAATTGACTGGGAGCATCAGGATGGAGCGGAGTTTAAGCAAGAGCATCGACAGGCAGAATGTGGTTTGTTCGTGTTGAATAGAGACCAGAACCGAGGAAAAGGGGAGTAAAACCAAACCGTTTCCAGCCAGGCCAGTCAGCTAGCTCCAGAGCTAGCTACCGTGGATTCCAAAAGCCACGGTAAGACATGTTATAAATGATTCAAAGCAGATGAATTTGCATCTTCGGCTATGTCTGCAGGGAAGCAAGCAGGCAGCATTTGCAACTTGTGAGTGTTCAGATCTCAGACACTTTGACAATGACACGAAAGCTTGTTTTTGGCCTTCAAAACTCAGTCGGCCCGGAGTTGTCGATTAATTGTTGAATTAATTTATTTTCTTAGCAGTAAGGAAAGCCGAATTGCTCAGCCAAGTGAAGAAAGCCATCCAGCTTGCTAAGATGAGATGCTCACTTATCGTGTTATTCATAGCAATGTTCATACTTAAACATCTCTTTATAACCACCCAAGGATAACATGCATATTTATTTCCTGTTATATGCCAACTCTGCTTCGATATTCTAAATGTAATGCCAGTTAATGGAATGAAATGGGATGAATTCAAGCATTGTAGCAGCCCTTGTCTCTTCCCATATCGTGTTCCGCCTGTCTGAATATGGTTGAGCTCTTAAAATATGTATCAAGAGCTTGCCTTTGGCTTGATTGCGATGCTTGAAAAGCTTCCCTCTTTTTTTTTAAGGAACCAATCTCTTCCTCTTTGAAGAGGCAAAATGGCATAACTGGAACAACTGATGCAAGTACATTTTTAAGTAAACTTTGTTTACTGACCTCTGAACAATAGTTGTCAGGTACATTAACTCTGTGGCAGGATCTTAATGTCCTGTGGTTCGCTATACACACCATTTGACAGGTAATGTAGTGATGAAGCATTTTGATAATGATGTGACATTTTTGCAGGATTTTTAAAAAGCTGATTGGATACCATACATGACAAGTGTGTATGTCGTATCATAACACTGTCCTGTGATCCTGTGAAGCGTGATGGCTTTAAAAAAGCAGTCTTTCCCTTTTTCTGAGGCATGTTCGTGTCTTCTTAACCACACAGATATAAGACTTAATTCTAAAGATCTTATTAAATAAGCTTCAGAGGTTAAACTCACTGCCTTTATTGTAAATGTGATTTTTTCTTTATTATATTTTTAAGCTTCTTTGAAAATATATAGGTCCTTTAAGTGTAAATTTCTGATATTCCCAAATCTCAAACCTAAGAAATCCAGTGATGTTCATACTGTATTCTCAATTATATTTTATAAGCGATTACATTCCTTCTTCTAACCTTGAAAACAAACCCTTTTCTCTAACTGGTTATTCAACGGGGACATGCTTAAGTGTGCATGCTGTCTGATGATGACAGTGATATTATTAAGTGTTCAGACTGGTGAAGAATCAGTGAACTGCACTCTTAAATGTCAAGATCATTTAAGAGTGCAGTTTTCTATTCAGCTTAGACTGAGGACACAACTCCACATTTGTCAGTTGATTTATGTTTGCTTAAAAGTGATGGAATACACAAAACTAGAACTCAAAGAATTGCTTGTGGCCAAAATAGGTTGCATTTGCCATCTTAACATTCACGACTTATTAAAATTACCATTCAGTTTATAAAGCAATTTTTCATTTTATTTGCAATTAGATCCATTGAGGCCAGAAGTGTACCCAGCGGATCTGCTGGAACGACTAATGAATCGTTTTAATATTCCTTTGTCAAATGTATTTTTTTGTCAGTGCTGTCTACCATTACATTTCTAGAAGAGACTCAACTGAGGGAAATTTTTGAGGGGGTGTATTTATCGTCATTTGATTCTGAGCTATTTAGAGCGTACGACTCATGCAATATTGCAGGTTTGTGTTATAATATGTCTGAACGCAGGAAAGAATACTTGTTATTGTGGGATTTAGAGTGAAGGTTAAAAGGACATAATAAGATAAGGAGACACTGTGTACTAGTGTAAATATTCCTCTTAAGTTAGATCTGAATTGATTTGGATGTGAAACCCTTTCTTGTGTTTTGGAGTTTAGCTGCTGTTATATACCTCCCTTCACTCCGGTCAAGTTAGTATTTTATTTTAGAGGATTTTTTGCACAGTTGCATCTGTGTGAAAATGTCCCCAGATTCAATTGTGGCGAGTGTATGTGACAGACTTGACTGGCTTTTCTTAGCTACATGCGTTTCTAGCACAAATGTTTGTAATCCTTCCAAATAACAGAAGCTCACCCAGCGTGTCTCTTCCATTCTCACCAGGCGCTGGCCATGCCGTCGAGTGTGCGGGCCGGGAACCTGAAGGACCCGGAGGTGGCTGAGCTGTTCTGCAGGGAGGATCCTGAGAAGCTCTTCACGGACCTGAGGGAGATCGGCCATGGGAGCTTCGGAGCAGTCTACTTTGTGAGTTGCTTTCATTATTGGTTTGATCTGTGACAGTGATGTGAAACACGGACTGTAGTTCATAATGCTGTTGAGAAGAAAATCTTTGAGAATAAATTATTTTATCTGCTTGATTTGTAGGGGAAAATGTTATTTAAAGTGTACGTGGTACCCTCTCTTGTTTTTGTTGCCATGTCTTTTTTTTTTTTTAAAGTGACCCTGAAACATGCCCATGGGCTTGCAGCGCTGATGTATTTGCCAGTTGCCAGTTATTCCGTATTGGAGTACATCTCTTCTATGTGTCTTAACCTGTTTAAAATCTTTTTTGGTTGCTTCTAGCCTCTTAAAATAATGTCTTGGTGATGAAAGTATTGATCATTGAAGAGTATTTTGCGTTTAATATGAGTGGGGAGGAGAAGTTTAATCATCGAACACAACGAGGCGATTGAGGTTATTTTATCATAGAATAACAAGATGTCACTTGAGTAATCTGTCATTTATATTTGAAGTTCAAAGTGTTCTGTCACATACTATGACACAATTTGCTTTCACTCCTCAGCACAGTCCACTTGAGATTTAAATGCTTTAAGTGAGGGAACTTTCTGAGTTGAATTGTTTGTCACGAACTTTGAGTTTTGGAGATAAAATGATATTATTTTTTCCATTCTATAGACCAGAACATTAAGTGAATAAAGATGTAACTGATAACGCTGAAAAACTGCTAACTGTTCGTAGGACTGATGGTTAAAAGGCCATAAGGAACGTTTTTATTGTGGCTGAATGACCATTTTTCACATCCTTTAATTTTAGCTCATGGTACCATTCAAATGTACTCACTGCTGAGGACAGAGTGGTTGGTGTTAAATGATGAGAACAGCACAGAGGAGCGTGTCCATTCACTAGTAATGCTGAAGTTTGTGTGACAGGTGGTATTTGTCTGAAAAATGGAAAAGGTAATGACGGTGGTCGTTCTTGTAAGATCACAAGGTGGGCAAAAAGCATATTGAATGTGAAAGATGGCAGGAGGCAAGGGAAAAATGAAAACCCAGTTTGGTCAGGGACAAAGAACAACTTGCCAGTGGTGGATGAAAAGCTCTGGTTAATAAAGGGTGAAAAAGAGCCAGTCATGGATGAAGAGATGGGCTGGAGAGTGCAGAAGAGAGGAGGAGAGGAAGCTCTGCAAAGATTCTTTTTATGTAATCGTGATTGCTTTGTTGCGTCCAGTGTAAAAATGGACCATGAATCATAGTCTCGAATGCTTTGTGAAAATAAAGATACAAAGTGTTTCACTTACAGCCAACACTTTTACCGATGCTCACCTAAATGAAAAGCAAATGGTTGGGGACAGAAAAATTTAGGTGAGAGAAACAAGACTTTATTCCAAAATGTCATGGCCTCCCTTTTTTCACCAGGCCCATGATATCCGCACAAATGAGGTGGTGGCAATCAAGAAGATGTCCTATAGTGGCAAACAGTCCAACGAGGTAGGACCTGACAACTCAGTCATTCATGGTGATGCTGAGATCCGATTAAATGCAAAATCAGTTTTCCTGTTATCGACGTCACTTTGCTCTTTATGCAGAAATGGCAGGATATCATTAAGGAAGTGAAGTTTCTCCAGAAACTGCGCCACCCGAACACCGTGGAGTATCGTGGCTGCTACCTGAGAGAGCACACGGCATGGGTGAGTGTGTGGCCTAACTTCATTCTGCAGTAAACATAAATTCTTTAGTAAGTAAATTCATATATTTCACAGTGTGTTATGTGCGTGCCAGGACCTCTAAATATCTTACTCGGATGCAAGGTTGGATAAAGTTAGGCTGCGCCCTCAAAACAGCTACATGAAATGAAAAGAAATACTTCTTTAGTTTTCCTGAAGGGAAAATATATCGTCCATAAGCCAAACCGCTTCTAATGTTTTTTTTGGCTTTAAAAACCTAGAGAGCTAAAATCAGACATCAAATATATTGTTCAGAAATTAACATTAAAGATTTTCTAGACACTTTTCTTCATGCTGCAGTCCAAACTGTCAGAAAGTACCTCAGACTGGATGCAAGACATAGTGGGAAAAGTGCCCTGTGTAAATTACAAGGTTAAAGAAATGATCATTTAGATTAAAAAGAAAAAAAAAATATTTGTAAATGTAAGGCCTTTCTGCCTGGAGTTTGCATGTCCTCTCTGTGTATGAGTATATTCTGTCAGACTTCCTTCCACAGTCCGAAAACATGAATGTCAGGTAAATTTGACACTGAACTGACTGTTGGGTGGAGCGTGCATGGGAGTCTTTTGTTGTACATCTCTGTCTGTCTTTTCCTGTGACAGCTGAGGTAGCTTTAATTGAGTATAGAGAGTGGATAGATTTGCCAAGACCCACCTCATGCTGAACACGATGAAGAATTGTTATGAAATTCTGAGATTGAGAAAATGTAACCCGGCACTTATTATTACATGGTCGTTTACCTTGTTCTTTCTCCTTTTTCCTTGTTTCCTCATTTATCATGCAGACCAAGAAAAATGAAATGTCAGCTGTTGATCCTCATAGTGGTACTTGTTGAGCCGACTCCTTCCTTATTTATTTTGTTGAGCAGTTTGCAAATGTAGCTGCTGCAGAGTCTGCCTGAGTGTGACTCATCAGCATGAAACAAAGCAATATGTAGTATTTAGCTTCTAGTTCATTCTGGGTGAAATTAGTTTCTGTTCTCAGAGATCATCTTAAATTTCTTTAAAGGAAAGGTTCCTCCCATCCCAGTCAATAAAATGGCTTATGTGGTACTTAAATGATTGATAAATAATAAGATGAGAGGATGTAAAGACTCTTAAATTATATGATCTTGAAATGAAGACATATCGGGTGTTAGGCCAAGGAGGCTAAAATAGGTGATTAGTGATGGGCTCTTATTTCTTGTTGCAAGTTGTGTTTTGTATAATCTGTTAACCTGCTAGTAAAAAAATCTGACTGTTAGAAAGGATTTAAGTTGCTTACTTTAGCAGGCGCAATAGTGCTTTAAAAAGAGCTTTGGCATGGCACATATAATGTAAAGGTTGTGCTAGAAATTAGAAATCAGACCTTTAGAAAACCAGCTCTGATTACAGCAAATTTTAACAAGGAAATCTGCTTCCACCGCTTTGCTCTGTGTCCCTCTCATAGCTGGTGATGGAATATTGCTTGGGTTCTGCCTCGGACCTCCTAGAAGGTAAGAGGCAACAAACAGAACACAGAGATTGAACAGATATTTCAATCATTCAGACAAACAGCGCTTTATTTCCTCATATGTTTTTCCTCATCCAGTCCACAAGAAACCCCTCCAGGAAGTGGAAATAGCTGCCATAACCCATGGTGCATTGCAGGGCTTAGTGTATCTTCATTCCCACAACATGATTCACAGGTAGCCCCCCTTTTGTTTTTCACTCTTTATCTTTTCCCCCTTTGTGGCATTCTTTCATTTTTCATGACCTGTCATATTCTGTGTGTTTTTTTTATGCCTCAGGGACGTGAAAGCAGGAAACATCTTGCTAACGGAGCCCGGACAGGTCAAACTGGGAGACTTTGGCTCTGCCTCCATAGTTGCTCCTGCTAACTCCTTCGTGGGAACACCTTACTGGTAAAGCCCTCTTTTTTTCCCTTTTAAATACAGCTTTTCATCATGAATTCAAAAGAACTCCTTTAAATTAGAATTCTGCAAGGCTTTCACACAGTAAACAGAGCAAGATCCCTACTAAATCCTAAGAATAGGTCCTCATCCCAAATGCACTGGTGCAATTTTTCATTCTTCTGACACTAGAGCACAGGGAAACTTTAAGTGTGGCTTAACACCACTACATTACTTCATCTGGCTAACTGTTTGCTTGTGCTTCCTGTACCGTCACACCAAGTGTCACGTTTTTGTCCAGGTGTGGTTGGAATGCAAGCGTTGATTCAAATTCATTCAACCGAGCAAAATGTACTGATGTGTTCTGTTATAGCCCTTAAAGCTCTTCCACCAGAGCCCTCCTCTCAGCAGGTAGACGTTCCTGCTCTTACTGTACAGGAAGAAGTCCGTCTTAATGTGGTGCAGGAGTTGGATGAGTGTGCCTTGAGGCACTGTCCTCTTGTGGACCAGAGTCAAAGTTAAGTGCTGGTAATGGCTGAATTGTCGTCGTTGTGTGATTGCTTCCTCCATATAGGATGGCCCCTGAGGTGATCCTGGCCATGGATGAGGGGCAGTATGATGGGAAGGTGGATGTGTGGTCACTTGGCATTACCTGCATAGAGCTGGGTAAGAAATGGCCACAAAGTGATCTGTGAGGAGGTCTTTTGTCATCGCCAAGCTGAAAGCCTCAAAGCATTTCCTCATATCTGTCTCTTTTTCTTCACCCTCTTTTTTCCCCCTGTGCTGTACTTTGTCACTCCCTAGCGGAAAGGAAGCCTCCTCTGTTCAACATGAATGCTATGAGTGCCTTATACCACATCGCCCAAAATGAGAGTCCTGTGTTGCAGTCTAACCACTGGTGAGACATGATTTCTAACTGATCTGAGGTGTTCAGACAAATTAGTCTGTGTGGAAGCAGCATGTGCTTTAGCTGAGTTCACTGATGATTTCTGAGTGGATATTCAGCTTTTCTTCCCTTTATCAAATTTGGTAGATGATGCAAATTTTCGGTCGCACTCAGCTGACACAGAGTGATTACATTTTTGCTCTTATGCCTGTACACTTAAAGTTAATTGTTATATGTTTTTTAGGGCGCGGCAGGATAAACTTTATAAGCTGCTTTTGTGCATCATAAAAGCATCATGAGAGCCTTTTAATAAAGAGATTTCTTTTAATTTGCAGGTCGGATTATTTCAGAAATTTTGTGGACTCCTGTTTGCAAAAGATTGCTCAGGACAGACCTACCTCTGATGTGTTGCTCAAGGTACGCAAAGTGAAAATGATGCTGGAGTGGGTGTTTTAATTCAGCCGGAGTCTTGAGATTATTAGAATTACAAAATAATCGTTTGTTTACGAGCTTTAAAATGAAAGTTCAAAGCAGATTTTCCTGCTCTTATGAAAAGGAATTGTGGTTGAAAGGCAAATATTCTTCAGCCCTTTACAAGGAATGAAGAATGACATTTTATATTGATTCTAACTTGCCCAGCATGTTAATTGAGCTGACCGGCACACTATCTGGCAGGAGTTCATCCCAGTCTTTTATGATGTGGTTTTCCATCATTGCCCCACTGGGCTTTAAGTTGCATTGCATTTAAATAGCACAACACGAATCCAAACCACTTACAAGTTTACAAATAAATAGCAATTGAATCACTTAATTGTGTGTATTGAATTGTTATGTAAAAACAAAGGTTCATAGAGTGAGAAAATCCTCTGCTCTGCAACCCTCTGTGTGACTCATTCTCCGTCTGAATCCAACCTTCCATCCAGCACCACTTCTTATGTAGAGAACGCCCCGTGACGGTTGTGATGGACCTGATCGCACGCACCAAGGATGCTGTAAGGGAGCTAGACAACCTTCAGTACCGGAAGATGAAGAAAATCCTCTTTCACGAGGCACACAACGGTCCAGCACCAGAAGGAGGGGATGAGGAAGAGGTAAGAATGAAGCAAAGAAGTGAGAAACAGCCATGGGATCTGATGGGAAATTTTTTAAATATTTACAAATATAATAAAACATTAGCTCCAACAAGCACAAAGTAATATCTCTACCTAAAAACCATGTGCTTTTTTCCCCTGTATTGAATACTGGGCTTTTCTTCTGTTTGAAATACTTATAAGATATACTTGTTTCTGTGATATAAAGTGGAAAGTGTTCTACTATCCTCTCAGGATAGCCACTGTTTTAAAAGTAATCGGGTTTCCCAGAAAGTTTTGACTTTTTGGAATGAATCACCTCTCTCCTTTGGCCTTTGTTCATCAGGATGTGGAGCAGTACATGTTACGAACCGGCACAGTCAACAGCATGGAGAGCTCCCACTCTCTGCCCTCCATGTCCATCAGCGCCAGCTCCCAGAGCAGCTCGGTCAACAGCCTGGCAGACGGCTCCGACGACAGTGGGGAGATGGCCATGATGCAGGAGGGAGAGCACACCGTCACCTCCAACAGCTCTGTCCTGCACAAGCCCCTGGTCAGTCCTAAAGTCCAACCAAAGCCGTTCAACTGCCTGGTTCCCTCCAAAACCAGAAACCTAACTTCCCATTAAGGCTCATTAGCTTAAGAAAGTGTTAGGAGAAAATAGCTGTTTTGTTTTTTCATTGGATTTGTGTCAGCGTAACAATATTATGATAAGGTTAGCTTCACACACAAAGCATTCAGCATTCAGCTGCTGGATTCAAATCTTTCTCACAGGTGTCTCCCCCTTATTTTTCATGCACTTTTGTTGTATGCCTTTATTTATTTCCTTTTTTACTTTTTCACTGTTTTAAAACTGTGCAGTTGTGCCTTGCCCTTAATCATCTGTGGGAACTGGAAATTCTTCTGTGTGTGTTTGCGCTGAATAAGTCAAGAAGGGTGACCTTATTGTAAGCCATCAACTATTTGTAAAAAAACCCCAAACAAACAGAAATGTTTTTTTCCCTCTCCACACTGTAGAGCCATGACAATATCTACGATGATCCTTATCAGCCGGAAGTTGACTCCCAGCGAGAGGCCTCGTCTGGTGGTGGTGGTGGTGGTGGAGGAGGAGGGGGGGGAGGAGGAGGAGGAGGAGGGGGAGGGGGAGGAGGCGGTGGGAGACGTCGACGTGGCTGCGACCATTTTGCCACCATCAGGACAGCATCACTGGTCACTCGTCAGATCCAGGAACATGAGCAGGGGTCGGCACTTAGAGAGCAAATGTCTGGGTAAGGTCATGGCTCAATTTTCATTTTGATATGGACAACATTTGTGACAAAGGTCACGTGTTAAAAACCATAAAGTCCCTTCATTAATATGTGATCATTCCTGAAAGGTGCTGTTATACGGCATGTATTGCTTTAAAGAATCCAGAACTACAGGACCCACCGGAGATGCCCTGAATGATTATTATGCCGTCTTTACAACATTTTCTTTCCATCAGACTTGAATTGATTGTTGACCCTGATCAATTGTCTCAGGTACAAGCGGATGCGGCGCCAGCACCAGAAACAGCTGATGGGGCTGGAGAACAAGTTGAAGGCAGAGATGGACGAGCACCAGCTGAGGCTGGACAAAGAGTTGGAGAATCAGAGGAACAATTTCTCAATGGAAGGAGAAAAGCTGTCCAAGAAGCACCTGGGCATAATGGACAAGGAGGTGAGCTGGTGCAGGAATGAGAGGGGAAGACACTACACATAAAGTCATTAAATGTATGTTAAGTAGAAATATGGGGAAGACATAGCTGTGCTGTCTGTGGTGAGGTCAAAGCGCATTTCTCAAAGCCATCGCTTTGAACTCCTGTGTCTATCTTAACGGGCTTCTGCAGACGAAGGCTGTTCTGACTGAAGAGAAGAAGTTTCAGCAGCACATACTGACCCAGCAAAAGAAGGAGCTGACCGGTCTGCTAGAGTCCCAGAAAAGGCAGTACAGACAGCGCAAGGAGCAGCTCAAAGAGGTGCTTTTAGCCGTGTCACCCACTAGACACAAGGCCGTTCCAAAATTTGATGAAGCATCACTTTAAATGCACACACAGCTGATGTTGGACCTGTTCTCTCCTCTGAAGGAACTGAATGAGAACCAGTCGACACCAAAGCGGGAGAAGCAGGAGTGGTTGGTGCACCAGAAGGAGTGTCTGCAGCAGCTGCAGGCCGAGGAGGAGGCCAACCTGCTGCGGAGGCAGAGGCAGTATTATGAGCTCCAGTGTCGCCAGTACAAAAGGAAGATGCTGCTGGCACGCCACAACCTGGAGCAGGATCTGCTCAGAGAGGTATGTAGTACGGATGTCCAGATCCAGCTTTTTGCACTTCCGATCCGATACCGGCCAAGTTTTATGTTATTTACTTACTTAGTTGTCAGACTCGTGTTGAACAGGGATTTACTCTTACAACAACTTAATGGTTAGAACACAGACCTGTGGGTTAGGAGATGCTAATGCTTGTGTGGCATCAGACTTTAAAAAAAACTGGATTGGGATTCTGGATGGGCATTTTCTCATGCCGGCCGATACGCCTTTTTTTGCAAATATCGGCGGCCAGTCCGATCCCAACATCGCATCGGGACATCGCCTAGTATGCAGTCTGACGCGCAGAACATCAGATCCAACCCGTCACTCCACACACGAATTGCTGTGTGTCGCATGACCCACACTGACCATGTTTCCCCTTCCAGGACCTAAACAAAAAGCAGACTCTGAAGGACCTGGAGTGCGCCATGTTGCTGCGTCACCACGAGTCCACCCAGGAGCTGGAATTCCGCCAGCTGGGTTTGGTGCAGCGCACGCGGGCCGACCTGATCCGCACGCAGCACCAGACCGAGCTCACCAACCAGATGGAGTATAACAAGAGGCGCGAACAAGAGCTGCGGCAGAAACACGCCGTGGAGGTCCGCCAGCAGCCCAAGAGCCTCAAAGTGAGTGAGAGCACCCAGTGCCAGGGCTCCCCGGAGGAGGGGGCCGACCAGTCAGCAGAGGGCCGGACCGGCAGCTGGGGGGAGGGAGAGGGGGAGGACATGGAAGGGGGTAAGTCAGGCAAGGAGAATGAGGCAGTGGCAGGAGGCCTGCTGGAGCCGGGAGATGAGCTAGATGGAGCAGTTGGAGATTTCAGAGATGATGTTGATACAGAAGGAGATGAGGAGGTGAGGGCAGAGAAAGGGAAGTTTGAAGTAGACGAGGACGGAGATCCAAATGGAAATGATGTGGATGATGATGATGAGGTAAGGGAAGTGGAGGGAGTGCAGTGGGAATATGAGGAAGATGACAGTAAGGCCTCCCACATAGACAGCGAGGAAGAGGAGGAAGAGGACAGGGGTGTGGCTGATGGTTGTCCGTCAGAGCTCATCTCCATGTCCCCCTCTGAAAAGAGACGGTATCGGGAGCGAGAGATCGATGAGCTGTCAGAGTTTTACTTCGCTAACACCCCAGAGGAGCTGGAGCCCATTCCAGTGTCGCCTCCCCCCCCCCCCCCCCCCCCCCCCCCCCCCCC